GGACCGGGGAAAGTTCCAGTCTGCTGGCATCCGGACTGGACTGCGCAAGCAGCTCCCAGGAATGTCGTTAGTCATTGAGCCGGGGGGGGATCGGAGCCGCCACATGGATGTGTGTCAATAACTGCGCATTTGGGGGAAATTACTGCAGATCCTCCGCTGTGGTCTCTGTGGGGCGTGGAGATAAACCAGACAGGGAGGCTGGCAGGGCTGGGGGAGGCGGGACTGTCTTTAAGATATCCTGGAGAGATGCATGAAGCCCATTTGGAAAGAGCGCCCTTGTGTTTGTGCAGGTGTCACAGCATCAGGTATAACACTGAGTCAGGACGAAAGCACAGCATTGGCTGATGGCCTAGGGTTGGGCCTCACGCAGGGCCTGATGTAGATGCTCACGCAGTAGGCTGACTGAGCCTTCCGTGGTAGTAGGGAAATTAGACAGGGTGTAGGATGAGTCTTTTTTTAAAATCTGGTCTGGCTCTGCAGAGCAACATCAGATCCCACTGGATCAATAGTCAGGAAGAAACTTTCCACACCTGCGGTCTGAATGGACGTGGAGCTGGCCGAGCTCTGCTGGGGACAGCGCTGGGCTTAGCTGGCTCGGCTACTGGGGCAACATCTTCGGGCCCTGAAAACTTGACAGCGTGTTTAACAACGAGTGGCCCTGTGGGTGAGCCACTCATCAGGAGTGGATGAGGAGGAGTGTCTCTGCTAGTAGTCCTTGCTATAGAACGCATGGTTAAATCATGAGACTAAGCAACTCAAAATTATGTGGACATGTAACAATAACTGCATAACTGTGGATGCCATTTCTTCTAAAAGGATAATTAGGCGATACAGATACCAAGGGAAAACCTTGACTCTGCCACTACAGCAGAAGCTTTTCTTTCTTCTGTTGTAGCATTAATAATGTTCTGATCTGAGAGAGACACTTCTTTATCCAAAGGGTGGTGGGAGTAGGGAACAGGCTAAGCAAACATGGTGTTGAAGCCGGTACCCTGGCTTCTTTAAAGGATAAGATCCTGGGATCAATCAGCTACTCACTTATGGGCGATGGGCCGAGTGGGGCTCTGATCTGTAAATTCTCCTGCGCTCTTAAGAAAGGCAGGTGGCGAAGAGCACAGCTCTGGAATGTACTGGAGCCCAGTGACCTTGGGCCACGGTGAGGCGGTACAGCGTAACCCTGGCTCTCACCCCGCGTGTCACGAGCTCTGCTGCGCTGCAGCCCGGATTGAAGAGTTACAGAGAAGCCAGTCGGCCCTGGATGACGCACGCAGAGCTTGAAGATAATACCCTCGCCGGGTCAGCCATAGCAAACTGCCCGCTATCAGTTGCTGCTCAGCACAGCTGCTGGGACTGTACTGATTAGCCTGCTCTCACTATAATGCCTGAATGTTTCTAAAACCTGGATACTATATGTAGGGAAGAAGTGTTTTTGCAGGGCGGTTGAGTGTGGTGGCTCTGTGGCTCAGGATCTGTGCCTGTGGCTGGGAGGTTGCCGGTTCAAATCCTGCGGCCGGCAGAGGAATCCTACTCTTCTGGGCCCCTGAGCAAGGCCCTTCACCCCAACTGCTCCAGGGGCGCTGTATAAATGGCTGACCCTGTATCTGACCCCAGGCTTCTCCCCCTGTCTGTGTGTCTCATGGAGAGCAAGCTGGGGTGTGCGAAAAGACAAATTCCTAATGCAAGAAATTGAGCTGGGGTGTGCGAAAAGACAAATTCCTAATGCAAGAAATTGTATAGGGCCAATAAAGTGATCTGATCTTGATTAGTTTCATACTTCTTTAGAATTTCGACAAATTTAATATAACGATAAAATCTTATTGTACTTATTTTCAACGTGACGGGGGAGTGAGAATTCCACAGTCTTCCTCTCCAGAATTCTATGCCCTATGCCAATTCCTCATTGGAAAATAAGAACAGTCTGAGAATAACAGCTGGCATGCCAGGGGGCTCCTTTGCTGCCTGGATCCTGAGAGCCGCTGTGCGCGTGCCCATATCTTCCTGACCTTGTCTGGGCCAGATCACCTGACCCGGCGCAGGGTGCCCAGAGCGCAGCAGGGCTGTGAATGGCTGAGGCACCCACAGGCCTGGGTGGCGGTAGTGGGGATGTTCCGGAAGGCAGCAGGAACACAGAAATGACCTTAGCGCGTTCTGGGCGGCCTGTCCTTCAGTTCTTTAGTCCTTCAGTTGGTGGGTCAGCTTTCAAAGTTTGTGTGAAAAGCCTGAGTTGCACCTCAAATATTCTTTATTATCCTTCTCCTACGGCCAGTGTCTGTGCTTCAGGCCTCGCTCAGTGGCACTGTGACGTAGAGTTGCCTCTGTGTTTCGACACAGCTGTGATTTGCATTTTTTTTTGCGAAGGAAAGGCTATTTAAGTCTTTATTGAAAAAAAGAGGGGAAGGGCAGCAGACTGAGCTCGTTCAGAATTTCAGAATTGTCCCGAACAGGTAAGAGCACAGCTAAATCAGATACCCGTTAACAGACGGGATTTACGTCTTCATGCAAACGAGCGAAGCAGGAGAGTGTGGTTTCTGACACCACTGATATAGCAGGGGAATCCTTTTCAGAGCTCTTAGACCTTGAAAGACTGGGTTTTACTTGAGGAATTCTCTATTTCAAATAAAGTGCATGAAAAAAGAATTTTCGGATTCTGTTCTGTCTGGCTTCGTTGTTGCATAGGGGTTTGGCCTTGCTGCGAAAATGGACCTGAGTTGGTGAACCTCAGACTGCATGAAGGACCATCTGCATATCAGATTCAAGGGACTCAAAATGTCTGCTGCAAAGTGTCAGACATCCATTCTCCATGCCCCAATTTCATGTTGTTGTTGTAAAAGTTTGTTTCCAGTGTTTCCCAGAGGTTTACAGTGCACTATTATGCTAACTGAAGACATGTGACTTCCGATGCATTGCTCAATTATGTGGTTTATTAACAGCTAATTACAGATGAGCTATTAATACGCCACATAATTGTATAAGATAAGATCTGTTTACGACCATTTGAGACAGACGGTGAGACAGTGATATTTCCTTGCTGAGAGGATTCTGGGAGTCTGGAACTGATGAATCGCACTTGTCTAAGAAAAGAAGTGTTAAAACACCAACCGACTAGCAACCAAACGAGTTAGGCAGGGCGAACACCTTGCTCTTGTTTGCTGCCTGTCTTATGTTCAGGAGCCTCATAAATGTATGCACAGAAAGTTTTAAAATATATGTAACACCATGGACATAGCCCTTCCATTATTTAACACTCACATTTCCCCCCAAAAAAAATATGCTGAAGAAAGATGTGACCAAATATTTAATAAAAAATAAATAACTGTTATAACTGGATAATATAGACATCTGCAAAGCAATTAATTGTGAATATCATTAGAACAATTGCAGGGAATAAACCGACTTTTAATTGCGAGTCTTGAAAAGACATCAGCTCCGCTCTCTTAGGAAGCACACAGCTGTGCAATAGCGCCATCTCCCGGTGATCATGAGAACTACAGGTAAGGCGCTCTCGCAGAGCGCAAGGGCGAGGATCAGGCGATTTGTATTTTAATGAAGCAAACCGGATATTTTACTTCCGTGTTTTCAGCCGTTTTGTAGGGAAATACCGCATATTTACCGGGTGTCTTCAGTACACAACGCAAGGGTTAATACAACGTCGAAATGTAAAAATAAAAAAAAACCATCTTGTGGAGTCTTCTGCGGAAGCTTATAGTGGCACTAATATTAGTAATAATAATTGCTTATACTTACATAGCGCTTTTCTGGACACTCCACTCAAAGCACTTTACAGGTAATGGGGATCCCCTCCACCATCACCAGTGTG